CAAGTGCTTATTCTACTGAGCCATCTCTCTGGTCCCCCAGAGTGGCTTTGAACTTGAGATTCTCCTGCCTCAGCCTCCCAAGGAGCTTGGATTATAGACATGGATACCTGGCTTGTAACAAACTTAAATATTCATAACAACAGAGGATAGCAATAGTTTTAAAAGATAATCAATCTGGAAGAAATCTGCGGGCCAGCCAGCCAGCTCAGCTCATTAAAGCCCCTGCTTAGGCAGGCACAGGGTTCCATACCCGGTGTGTCAAGCCATGCTGGCCCCACCCCTGGTGGATGAGACTGGGCACGGTGACATGTACCTGTAATCCCAGCACTTGGGAGGCTGGAAACAGGAGGATCACTATGAGTCCAATCTGTGTAGTAAGACCCTGTAGACCCTATACTCAATACATTTTTTTAAAAAAAGTTTTAGAAGAAATCTGCTATATACAGATATATAGAGAGATAGATATATATGTATATAGATATATATTTTTTGCCAGCTCAGCACACCCTGTTGTCAGGGCTGGCACGGCGTGTGGTGCCAGGGATGGAACTGCAGTCCCTGAGCGCTTGCCTAAGCTTGCCTAAGCAGGCACTTTAGACCACTGAGTTATATCGCTGGCCCCGGAAATAATTTTTATCCACACTAGTCAAAGAAACCTTATAAATCAATAAGAAAAAAAAGACACAAAAAATGGGCAGAAGATTTAAACAGATAATTCCCTGAATGAGAATTGCAAGTGATTAAACCAGAGGAAAAGCTCCTAAATATGCAAACAGGAGTAGCCCTAGGAAACAAGAATCAATACAACATGTGCGACAAACTGGAGAAATTACAAAAGATTGCTACAATGTGATACAGACTTTACCTGTTCGACATAAATATTCAGATTTATGAGCTGTCTTTTCCCTTGTACATCTCTGTACATGTTTGTAGGATGCCAATGTCTTCTTTATGTACAGTAACCTTGTTTATACCATCCTGTAATTTCTGCTGTCATACATCACAGCACTACATGTAAAAGTCATGCAAATGAAGGTAAAATCCTCAGGCAGGATGGAGATTCCTTTGACCGTTTCTTTGTTCTGAATATTATAACGTACATGCTACCTACAGTTCCTCACTTAGCAACCAATGCATTTAACGACCTGGCTGCAGGTCAGCTGAACCCAGCGGTAAGGGTGGAGGGTCTGCGCTAGCCCGCTGGTGGCTCGGCAGAGGAGGCGCTGGCTCTTGAACAAGCTGCTGGGCCAGCGTAAGTCAGCGGGGCCACGCCGGACACACACCATGACCCACCGTGCTGCGACCCAGCATCACTGCCCTAGACAAGACAAGCGCGCACACCAGGAAAGGGATGCGCGGAGCCTTGGGGCCAAGCAGTGCGTGGCGGCACGATCTGGGAATGACCTGAACATCCGTCAGGCGGAGTGGCCAGCCACTTGGTGGCACTTACACACAACAGAAGACACAGCAGACTCTCGAGACTGCTATTTTAGGTAGCTTTGATTGAAGAAGTTGCAAAGTAAGTCCCATGTACTACTTTTATAAACAAAAATTTTAACGAAGTGCCACAGGGCTGAGAATATAGGTCATCGACAGAGCATGCGCTCAGCCAGCACAAGGTCCTGGGTTCAAGCACCACACACACACACACACACACACACACACACACACGCACACGAAAGGAAGAAGCTCAGTTAGCTGGGCATGGTGGCAGAGCCCTGCAGTCCCTGCTACCCAGAGGCTGAAGCAGGAAGGTCACTGGAGCCCAGGAGCTCCTGACCTTGCAAAATACAGCCTGTGTCACAGAGAAGAAAATCAAAAGCACCACACGTGTACTTTCCTCGGATGCATTCGGTCAGCATGTTATGCATCAAAATGATAAGTAAAGCTTGGGAGAAGAGAGACCTGCCCGAGCAGGAGCCGGGGAGAGGCTCAGGAGAGACAGAACTGCTGTTCATGAAGCAAGCATTCAGCATATCAGCAGCACAGAAAGCCACGCACCACCTCCAGCTCTGCAGGCTTCTCGCCTCTGCCAACCCCAAGAGAGGCCTCTGCACACACTTGGCTTTTTGAGGCGTTGATAATAAACTGAATTTTTATTTTACCATTTTTTAAAAAAGGCTTCGGTTAGTGATATAGTACATTGTTTTGTGTTTTCTGCCAATAAGCTTTAGCAGTCCAGAATTTGTTATGATAGAAAGCTGGGAAAAAACTCAGCTTGCAAGTAATAAACTTGCAAAACACACACCCACCTTTTGCAGCATCATAGATGCCTACATGGAACGGCACCTAACACCAACTCTGTCTGTACTGACTCTGCACCACCACACCAAGCTGCCAAGTCAGTGCTGAGCAGCCACCCCGACCTGCTCTGGGGATCCTTTTTGTGGGTGGAAACCCACTCTGTGGATTCCCAAGCCTCATGGCAGCGATACACACCAGTAAGAAGAAAAGCTTGAAGCAGGAGTATCTTCCATCCATTAAGATCAAGAATTCATTGAAAATGAGCCAGACAGATTTTCTTTAAATTTTAAAACAAACCACCCCAATGAAAATCAAATCCTTAGGTAAGTGTCTTATCACTGTTTTACTTAGCAAGGAAACTCTCAATTCCTATTTCACACTAAAAAACAGAGGAAAGGAAGAAAGATAAAAAGACAGCAGCCACATCACATACCCAGCCTCCGTGCTGCCGTATCCAGTCTCCTGTATGGCTCATTATGAACTCAGCCACCAAGTAAGAAATCTCCTTGTACGTGTCCACATCTGGGGCAATCAGCTCTCGTGGAAGCCTCTTGAGGAGGACCCCCCCAAAAGCAAATATGGTCACAATCCGTCCCCAGTTAATGATGCCATCCTCAAACTCCTTCTCCATCACCTGGGTGAATACCGCCCTGGCAGCATCGATGGACACCACATCACATCTGTCCAACCACGGCTTCAGACTCTTTTCAACTTCTTCCTGCACCGAGAAAGCCACGTCCTGTAGCACTCTGGATGTCCTGCTGGGGCTGGCCCTGGCCTGAGGCACCTGCAGGGTGTGAAGCAGGTACTCCTGGGCCAGAGTCTGCGTGTACCTGAACTCCAGGTCAATCATCTTGGGCTGGGCGGGGCGGTGTGGAGATGGCTCACAGGGGCCTGTGCAGGCAGACAGAGGCTGCCGGCAGCAGAGCTGAGCAGGATATGACCCATGGTGACAGCTCTGGCCGGTGGACTTTCTGTTTGCATCACGGTTTAGGGTCCTTCCTCCCACTAGCTTACGTAGGCTGTATAGGAAAGAGAAAGTTTACGATGTGAAAGAGGAAAATGTTTCAAAGGTCACTTCCTTATCCTGTGACTAATGCAGTTGAAAAGTCGTGGGCGAATCCGAGCCATCACGCAGCGCCGGTAGCAATGTAAATTGGGGCAACCCCTGAGAAGCGGTTCCAGACAGACTTACCAGCCCCAGCCAGTGCATCGGTAAGCGTGGAAGGGGCAGCGGGTGTGCCCTCAGAAGCGGCCGGACTGGCAGGCAAAGGCTCAAGCTGAAGTCGCTGGGCAGACGGCAGCCGCCAGCACCACGTGGCTGGTCACTGGACTTCAGCTGAGTCGATAAACTCTGCATTGCCTTGACTTTCAAAAGCTACTACCTACCTCCATATCGCTCAGCAGCCCTTAGACGAACTGCCCTAGTCCAGACACCCATCCATCCTGCAGATTCTTTCTTTCTTTCTTTCTTTCTTTCTTTCTTTCTTTCTTTGTTTCTTTCTTTCTTTCTGTATTTGGTACAGGGTTTCACTACACAGCTCAGACTCATAGTAACTCTCTTGTTTTCAGCCTCCCCAGCACTGGGACTACGGGCACGCACCACCACGCCCAGTCAGCTCAGCACACCAGGGGGGCAGGGCCGGCACATGTGCTGCTGGGGATCCAACCCTGGTCCCTGTGCTTGCCTAAGCAGGTGCTTAGTCCACTGAGCTATCTTGCCAGCCCTTGTCCTGCAGATTTATTATTCTTTGTCTTAAAAAAAATAAAAGCAAACTGCTCTGTTCATTTATTTGGACTTCAGTCTTCTTTTTTCTTTCTTTTTTTGAAGTTTTTTAAAACAGGACTTGCTATGTAGTTCAGGCTGGCCATGAACTCCCAGTGACCCTCCTGCCTCAGTGTCCAGCATGCTGGGATTACAGGTAGGCACCACCACACCCAATATGACTTCACACTTAGAAAAAGGCCTATGTATGTATAAAATCAAAACAATGTGTTTCTCTTGTTAATCAGGCCTTGTCTTAATTGTGTTCTGTGATCCAACTAAAGCTCCCATAAGGGTGAAGGGGAAGGTAGAGAGGCTGTCTCTCTTCCCTCCAGGCTACGGCCAAAAGAATTGAAAACAGACACTCAGAGACTTGCATGCAAAATGCCATTGAATTGTTCACTTTAAAACAGTAACTTTATTTTATTTTTTGTGGATTTTTGACTATTTTGAGACAAGGTCTCATGGCAATCTTCCTGCCTCAGCCTCATGAGTGCCAGGATTACAGGTGTGCACCACCACACTAGACTCTAAAATGGTAACTTCATGCTAGTGAATTTCACCTTACAAGAAAAGGTCTTTGGGGAACAGAAGATAAGTCAGACTAACAGAAAACTGGAGTGGAGACTAGAAGAGCCTGGGGCCCCCAAGATCGCTCTGCCAGGCGGTCTGCGGGATGCATGGGGAGCACCTCCTACTGATTCTGGAGTTTTTGACAGAAAACAAAGTCAGCCCTCAAACCTTAATTCATATTCTTAAATCAGGCAAACTATCAAATGTATGGATCAAATATTTGTGGGATTGGAGAGAGCACTGGGCTTCGAGTCAGAGACTCCAGATGCATCTGTCTTCCCTGCTCACTCTGGGCCTGGGTCAAGCTCTCTTGATTGGAGGTAACCCACACTGACCTTGACAGGAGGGGGCCCACACTGACCTTGACAGGAGGGGGCCCACACTGACCTTGACAGGAGGGGGCCCACACTGACCTTGA